ACGTGGAGCAATGAGAGTCGTCCGATCGTTGCCTATTTAGACTGATTGCGTGGGCGAATCTGAATCATCTATCGCAATCAATCTCATTCGTCTGATCGCGTTTAAAGAAAAAATGCATTTGGACCGTTCATGTGCACAAGATGTGATCTGGACCATTGGATTGCTAGGCACGCAGATCGCCCACATGGCCTCCCGCGTGGTGCCGATGTCAACGTGTTTTCCATGCAGCGTGCTCTAGTTCGCCGTGGCTGCTGACTAGGTCATCCCACATGGCTAAATTTCTCAGTTTTGCGATTTTACTCCCTATTTCAAATTTTCTTTCAGAAATACACCCCTTATTCATAATTTAACCCATTTTTTTTAGAATTATTTTCAATTTCGTCCATAATTTATTTATTTTAATAATTTAAATAAAATTAAATTAAAATAATATTTTTAATTATGTATATATATTTTATAAATAGAAAATCATCCTGGGCCAAATTTCTGGGCCCAGGTGTTATATCCTAAGCTTGGGTTAGGCTAGGATCAATCCTCTTCAAGTTGTTATGGCTCGGACCCAGTAACCTATAATGACCTGTTGTAACAAGTCTAGCTCGGCTTTACAGCCTGCATGTTTTGACCCCTCCAAACTCGAGTTAGGACATGGAAACTTTACCCAAAGTCTAGTTGAGCTTTTGGATCCGATATCTCTAATTAAAAAGAAAACTATTTAAAGGGGAAACATGTTTATTTAAGAACCAGGAAAAAAAATGGAATTGATTCTTTTAATTGAACAGTAATTGTAACGTTGCATTTGTAACTTTCTAACAATTGAATAAAGCTTTTTTATATTTGATTCTTGTATCTTATTTTAACAAGAGCTTAAAAATTTGCATTAGTATAAATTTAAGTATTATTATCATTTAAACCAATATATACTTTCAACATATGTGCTCTCTGAAATCACATTATAAATTAGTGTCAAAAATAATATTAGAAATCTAACATACATCACCGTCAAAATCCATAAAGACATCTCACTTCTTTTGGTGCCTCATGTGTTTCATGTTACCAAGATATATAAGCCCCTCATCATGTTATTTTAATCTCATTAGCTTAGTCTTACACCATAATACAAGGGTAATAATAAGATATTAGTTACTAATGGCTAAGTTTTGAAAAATCTAGACATTTGCTCCTCCTCTTTATCCTCTTAAAACCATCATTTATTTCTTAAAAACCTATTCCATGTTCCTAGAATTCAAAAGTCATATTTCCTCTAAAAGATTCATAATGAATAATACGTGTTTTTAGGAATTTTATTATAATTATTTTTTTCTATGTGATCAAGCTACTAGAAAAATTCAACTTAAAGGATAAACTGAAGACGATCTCAACAATATGACATTAATACTTTAATTAAAGGTTTTTACTATAGTGGCTTCGTGGCAGATTGGCATACTCTTTAGTTATGCTCTCTCTTAAATCATTCATTACATAAAAGATTTTCACTTGTCTTGTCTCAAGTCAACCAGTAGTTCTCCCAATTTATGTTAAGCACGTAACTAAGAAAAATTATCTAAGACAACACTAAAATCAACTTATAATATCTTCAAAAATGCTCTTGATCTAATTTATTGCAATATGTGAGGTCCTACTGCAATCAAATCATCGGAATGCTACAAACACTTTTTTAGTAGTATTCTTTTATTATTATTCTTGGTTAACTTGGTTATATTGCATTAAAAATAAAAGTGATGTTTTTAATTTATTACCTAAATATTTGTTTATGGTTGAACATCAATTCAAGACTTTCTTATAAGTAGTGAGTCTATAAAATTGTATGAATTTTTAATCTATAAAGGAATTCATCATTTTATCACGTGTCCTCATACCCATGACCAAATGAAACTCCGTTTG